GGACCAATCAGCAACACGTCAAGAAGTTATCCTGGGGGGCAAACCAGCAACACGTCAAGAAGTTATCCCGAAGGGGCAAACCAGCAACACGTCAAGAGCGAGCTGAGGGGGGCAAACCAGCAACACGTCAAGAAGTTATCCTGGGGGGCAAACCAGCAACACGTCAAGAAGTTATCCTGGGGGGGGCAAACCAGCAACACGTCAAGAAGTTATCCTGAGGGGGCAAACCAGCCACAGGTCCAAAAGATGCTGAGGGGGGCAAACCAGCAACACGTGAAGAAGTTATCCTGACGGGGCAAACCAGCAACACGTCAAAGGTTATCCTGAGGGGGGCAAACGAGCAACACGCCAAGAAGGTGCTGAGGTGGTCGACCACCAACACTTCAATAAGTTACCCTGAGGCAAAACCAGCCACTCGCCAAGAAGTCATCCTGAGGGGGCAAACCAGCAACACGTCAAGAAGGTGCTGAGGGGACAAACCAGCAACACGTCAAGAAGGTATCCTGGGGGGGGCAAACCAGCAACACGTCAATGCGGTATCCCGAGGGGACCAAACCAGCAACACCACTGCCGTGCTTCTTTGGTGTCTGCCGTGCTCCTGTGGAGTTTGCCGTGCGAACGTGTGGTCTGCCGTGCTCCTGTGTGGTTTGGCGTGCTCCTGTATGGTCTGCCGTGCTCGTGTGTGGTTTGCCGTGCTCCTGTGTGGTCTGGCGTGCTCCCGTGGAGTCTGCCGTGTCCTGTGTGGTCTGCCGTGCTCCTTTGGGGTCTGCCGTGCTCCTGTGGTCTGCCTTGCTCCTGTGTAATCCTCCGTCCTCCTGTGGTCTGCCGTGCTCGTGCGTAGTCTGCCGTGCTCATGCGTGGTCTGCTGTAGTCCTGTATGGTATGCCGTGCTCCTGTGGAGTTTGCCGTGATCCTGTCCGTTATGCCGTGCTCCGTTGTGTTGTGTGCGTTCTGCTGTACTTCAGTATGTTCCGCCGTGTTACTGTACAGTCTGCCATGCTCCTGTGCATACAGCCGCGCTCCTGTGCGTTCTGTGTGTTCTGCCGTGCTCCTGCATCGTATGCGGTGCTCCGATATCTGGTACAGAATCTCACAAAGGAGCGCGATGCACAGAACAATTGGGTTTTCTTTTTTTTTTTTTTTTTGAGATTCCGTCGTGTGCAATGCAAGCCCCAATTATGCATGTCACGGTGGCACCACGGAGCGCCAGTGGGTTGAAAGCATCACCACCGTATATAAAGCAGACATACCGTGCTAAGCGCGCGTTTCAATAACGTTCGCTCGAACTCAGAACGCGCGGCGAAGAGTAGGCGCTCCTATCGACGTCTTTGGGTAAAAAGCCTTACTCACACCAAATGCACTAAGATTTCGGACAGTCAGCAAAGTGCACTTGATAGCCCACATCGCAATCGCGCTATCCGCTCACCAGGGCAACCAACGCCCGCCTTCAGTATTGTGAGGGTAAGGTAACACAGGTACAAAGTGTTTGCGATTCTCTCTGGCAACGGTGATCCGTGGAGGGGCAGATGGGTTCCCGAGAACGAGGAGCACGGCAGACCAGGCACCAAGAGCGCCCTCAAGACGACGGAAAGGATGACCAAGACGAGGAGCACGGCAGACCAAGACGAGGAGCACGGCAGACTATGCCCTAAGAGTGCCCTCAAGACGGCCGAACAACGGCAGACCCCATAGGAGCACGGCAGACCACAGAAGAGCACGGCAGACCAACAGGAGCACGGCAGACCACACAAGAGCACGGCAGGCCACACAGGAGCACGGCAGACAGGAGCACGGCAGACCCCACAGGAGCACGGCAGAGCAGACCCAAAAGGAGCACGGCAGACCACACAGGAGCAAGGCAAACCACAGGAGCACGGCAGACCACACAGGAGCACGGCAGACCCCACAGTAGCAAGGCAGACCCCAAAGGAGCACGGCAGACCACCGGAGCACGGCAGACCACACAGGAGTACGGCAGACCCCACATGAGCACGGCAAATCCCAAATGAGCACGGCAGACCACAAGAGCACGGCAGACCACACAGGAGCACGGCAGACTCCACAGGAGCACGGCAGACCACAAAGGAGCACGGCAGACCACACAGGAGCCCGGCAGACGCCACAGGAGCACGGCAGACGCCACAGGAGCACGGCGGAACCCACAGGAGCACGGCAGACCGCGCGCGGGTACAACATAAACGCGCCTTTTTGTTGTACCCCGAACGCCGCTGGCGTTTCCCCAACAGGAGCACGGCAGATCTCACAGGCGCGCGGCAGACCCCAAATGAGCACGGCCGACCACAGGAGCACGGCAGACCCCAAATGAGTACGGCAGACCCCAAAAGAGCACCGTAGACGCCTCAGGAGCACGGCTGACCACACAGGAGCACGGCAGCCTGGGCCGGTTCCGGCGCCGGCCGGCGCCGGAAAATTGAATTCCGAGGCGGTGCCGAAAAAAGGCCACTCCAAGACATATTTTTCTTTCGAAAATATTGATTTTCTGCTCCCGGCGCCCGGGAACCCCTTCCGGGCCGCTTCTGGCACCCGGGCCGGCGCTCGAGCCAAACGCCCGGGCCAGCACCCGGGCCAGCGCCCGGGCCGGTTCCGGCGCCGGCCGGCGCCGGAAAATTGAATTCCGAGGCGGTGCCGAAAAAAGGCCACTCCAAGACATATTTTTCTTTCGAAAATATTGATTTTCTGCTCCCGGCGCCCGGGAACCCCTTCCGGGCCGCTTCCGGCACCCGGGCCGGCGCTCGAGCCGAACGCCTGGGCCAGCACCCGGGCCAGCGCCCGGGCCGGTTCCGGCGCCGGCCGGCGCCGGAAAATTGAATTCCGAGGCGGTGCCGAAAAAAGGCCACTCCAAGACATATTTTTCTTTCGAAAATATTGATTTTCTGCTCCCGGCGCCCGGGAACCCCTTCCGGGCCGCTTCCGGCACCCGGGCCGGCGCTCGAGCCAAACGCCCGGGCCAGCACCCGGGCCAGCGCCCGGGCCGGTTCCGGCGCCGGCCGGCGCCGGAAAATTGAATTCCGAGGCGGTGCCGAAAAAAGGCCACTCCAAGACATATTTTTCTTTCGAAAATATTGATTTTCTGCTCCCGGCGCCCGGGAACCCCTTCCGGGCCGCTTCCGGCACCCGGGCCGGCGCTCGAGCCAAACGCCCGGGCCAGCACCCGGGCCAGCGCCCGGGCCGGTTCCGGCGCCGGCCGGCGCCGGAAAATTGAATTCCGAGGCGGTGCCGAAAAAAGGCCACTCCAAGACATATTTTTCTTTCGAAAATATTGATTTTCTGCTCCCGGCGCCCGGGAACCCCTTCCGGGCCGCTTCCGGCACCCGGGCCGGCGCTCGAGCCGAACGCCGGGCCAGCACCCGGGCCAGCGCCCGGGCCGGTTCCGGCGCCGGCCGGCGCCGGAAAATTGAATTCCGAGGCGGTGCCGAAAAAAGGCCACTCCAAGACATATTTTTCTTTCGAAAATATTGATTTTCTGCTCCCGGCGCCCGGAAACCCCTTCCGGGCCGCTTCCGGCACCCGGGCCGGCGCTCGAGCCAAACGCCCGGGCCGGCACCCGGGCCAGCGCCCGGGCCGGTTCCGGCGCCGGCCGGCGCCGGAAAATTGAATTCCGAGGCGGTGCCGAAAAAAGGCCACTCCAAGACATATTTTTCTTTCGAAAATATTGATTTTCTGCTCCCGGCGCCCGGGAACCCCTTCCGGGCCGCTTCCGGCACCCGGGCCGGCGCTCGAGCCGAACGCCTGGGCCGGCACCACACAGGAGCGCGGCAAACCACAAAGGAGCAAGGCAGACCCCAAATGAGCACGGCAGTCCACACGTTCGCACGGCAGACCGCACAGGAGCACGGCAGACCCCACATGAGCACGGCAGACCAAGAAGGAGCACGGCAGACCACACAGGAGCACGGCAGACCACACAGGAGCACGGCAGACCACACAGGACACGGCAGACCCCACGGGAGCACGGCAGACCACACAGGAGCACGGCAAACCACACAAGAGCACGGCAGACCATACAGGAGCACGCCAGACCACACAGGAGCACGGCAGACCACACGTTCGCACGGCAAACTCCACAGGAGCACGGCAGACCCCAAAGAAGCACGGCAGTGGTACGTGGCACTGCTGTGGTATGCCGTACTAAAAACGTGGAATATCTCATAAGCCCAGGGGACAAAAGCACGCTTCCCGTTCTTGTCCGGTCAGGTTCCCCAAAATGGCCATTTCGCTCGAGACATCCTCGAAAAATCGAGGTGTTGGAGGCTATCGTTTAAGACGTCTTATGTAAAAAATGACGGTTTCGCTCGAGACATCCTCAAAAAATCGGGATGTTGAAAAATATCAAAAATTTTTGTTATGCATGAAAAATGAGCGTTTCGCTCGAGACATCCTCGACAAAATGAGATGCCGGCAGAGGTGTTTTACAACCTCTTATGTTAAAAATGACGTTTTCGCTAGGGACGTCCTCAGAAAATGAGCAGGTGGTCTGCCGTGCTCCTGTGTGGAGCACGGCAGACCACGGCCATTTCGCTCGAGACATCCTCAAAAAATCGAGGTGTGGTCTGCCGTGCTCCTGTGTGGTCTGCCGTGCTCCTGTGGTCTGCCGTGCTCCCCACAGGAGCACGGCAGACCGCGCGTAGGAACCGAGAGGAGCACGGCAGACCAAGACGAGGAGCACGGCAGACCAGGCTTAGGAACCGAGAGGAGCACGGCAGACCAAGACGAGGAGCACGGCAGACCAGGCACCAAGAGCGCCCTCAAGACGACGGAAAGGATGACCAAGACGAGGAGCACGGCAGACCAAGACGAGGAGCACGGCAGACTATGCCCTAAGAGTGCCCTCAAGACGGCCGAACAACGGCAGACCCCATAGGAGCACGGCAGACCACAGGAGAGCACGGCAGACCAACAGGAGCACGGCAGACCACACAAAAGCACGGGTCCGTAGCCATTTTGGCTCAAGCCGCCCTGGGCGCGCGCGCTTGGGATCGATGGCGCGGGCGGAGTCGCCTCCTGGCGATTCCCATCTGGCGAGGCCGCGGCGCTCGCGTGCTGAGCGCACGGCGGCGAGGAGGAGGGCCCTGGCCTCCTGCGACAAAGGGCTGGCGGCTGCCTGCGCGCGGATCCGCGAGCTCGAGGGGCAGCTGGACCAGGCCCGCCACGTTGCTCGCGACAGGATGGAGGCGGAGGCGGCGGCCGCGTCGGCTGCTGCGGCGCTTCGCCCCTCGGACGAGCTCCGCGATGCCCTCACGGGGCGGTTGGTGCAGCTTGGCCAAGCGCTGCTGCTCCACCATCGCGCAGACGCGGCCCTCGGCATGCATCATCATCGGCTTGGGGACGCCCTGCGAGCCGTTGCCCAGTCGCTGGACCTCGGGCCCGAGTTCCTGAAGCTCGGCATGTTGGTCAAGGGCGACGGCGACCGTGCTCGGCATGAACCCCTTCTGCCGAGGCCGCTCGATGTGCCGAAGGCGGCCGTGGACATCCAGATCGAGGTCTGCGTGGCCGAGCCTCCCTCGCGGATCCTGCTGGCGCAGTGCGCGGGGCAGGCCGCGGCCGCCCAGCTCCGCAGGGGCGCGGCGCCTTTCTGGCCTCTGCGGCCCCCTGGCCGCTGGGCAGCAGGCGGAGGGGACGTGTGCGACCTTGCCTTCGCGGCGGATGCGTGGCCCGGCCTCGTCTGCACTTGCGGGGCAGTGGTCTTCTCCTCGTGCGATTTGTTGAGTGTGAGCGGGCCTCCTTGCCAGGAGGCGCCCGCAGAGAGCCCCCTGGCGAGCGGTACTGCTTGCGCTGCGACGCCGCTGCCGGGTCTGGAGCGCCAGGGGGCCCCCGCAAGCTGTCCGGCTGCCCTCCTCGGCAACGGGTTCACCGACAGCGTCAGCGACGGCGAGGGCAGCAACGGTGGCGACGTGCGAGACCTGGGAGCTGATGCTGCCACGGCATGCTCCCTCTCTCTCCCCGGCGCTGCCTCGGCGCCCAGCGCGGCCGTCTTGGACTTCCTGGACCGGTACGATGGTGCCCTCCTGCGGGGGGGTGGAAGCGGTGGCTCCGCCGCGCCTGCTGCAGGCGTGGGCGAAGCGTACTCCCTCTTCCTCGACCCCGTCGACCTCGGCACCATGGAAGCGGTGGCCTGGGGGCCTTACGCTGCGGTTGGCGCGCTGCTTGACCTAGCCGAGGCTCGGGCTGGGCTGCCGCCGCTCAGGCAGACCATTTCCGTGGATGAGTGATTGCTGGTGTTCGGCCTTGGCAGCGCTGTCGTTCTCTCCTTTGAAATTGTCCTGCTTGTGTGATGTTTTTGTGGCTGCGGGAATTGGGATACGCGCTGGACCGCACTGTCGGGTGCTCTCGTAATGTTGTGTCAGGCGTTATTCTTTGCCCGTGCGCCTCAACGCTTTTGGTGGATTGAAGTGATCGTGAGGCGGCATTGTTCTGTTGTTCTGATGTGTAAGGCCTTCTCATGCTTGTGGAGCCTGCTTGAGGCAGGACATCGTGAGTCAGGCAGGTGGGCATGCATGTTCGGCTGTTGCCATGCGTGTGTGTTTCCCGTTCCCTGCACATTGTTGTGATTGTGAGGCGGCATTGTTCCTTTGTTCTGATGTGTAAGGCCTTCCTTCGCATGCGGAGCCTGCTGGATGCAGGACATCGTGGGTGAGGCAGGTGGGCATGCATGTTCGGCTGTTGCAATGCGTGTGTGTTTCCCGTTTCCTGCACCTTTGATTTTGGTTTCTTTGAAATCTTGCGCTTCGCGCGTCTGGCGCTTCGCGCCCTCCCCTGCGGTGGCTCCTTCGGGGCCCCTAGGGTTGGCCCTTGAGGCCCTGGGGCCAACGGGCTCCGTGGGCCTCGGGCTCCTTTTTGCCTTCATAGGCCCCGCAGCTCACAGCTCACACAAAAGCACGGCAGGCCACACAGGAGCACGGCAGACCACACAGGAGCACGGCAGACCACAAAGGAGCACGGCAGACCACACAAGAGCACGGCAGACCCCACAAGAGCACGGCAGACCCCACAGGAGCACGGCAGACCCCACAGGAGCACGGCAGAGCAGACCCAAAAGGAGCACGGCAGACCACACAGGAGCAAGGCAAACCACAGGAGCACGGCAGACCACACAGGAGCACGGCAGACCCCACAGTAGCAAGGCAGACCCCAAAGGAGCACGGCAGACCACCGGAGCACGGCAGACCACACAGGAGTACGGCAGACCCCACATGAGCACGGCAAATCCCAAATGAGCACGGCAGACCACAAGAGCACGGCAGACCACACAGGAGCACGGCAGACTCCACAGGAGCACGGCAGACCACAAAGGAGCACGGCAGACCACACAGGAGCCCGGCAGACGCCACAGGAGCACGGCAGACGCCACAGGAGCACGGCGGAACCCACAGGAGCACGGCAGACCGCGCGCGGGTACAACATAAACGCGCCTTTTTGTTGTACCCCGAACGCCGCTGGCGTTTCCCCAACAGGAGCACGGCAGATCTCACAGGCGCGCGGCAGACCCCAAATGAGCACGGCCGACCACAGGAGCACGGCAGACCCCAAATGAGTACGGCAGACCCCAAAAGAGCACCGTAGACGCCTCAGGAGCACGGCTGACCACACAGGAGCACGGCAGCCTGGGCCGGTTCCGGCGCCGGCCGGCGCCGGAAAATTGAATTCCGAGGCGGTGCCGAAAAAAGGCCACTCCAAGACATATTTTTCTTTCGAAAATATTGATTTTCTGCTCCCGGCGCCCGGGAACCCCTTCCGGGCCGCTTCCGGCACCCGGGCCGGCGCTCGAGCCAAACGCCCGGGCCAGCACCCGGGCCAGCGCCCGGGCCGGTTCCGGCGCCGGCCGGCGCCGGAAAATTGAATTCCGAGGCGGTGCCGAAAAAAGGCCACTCCAAGACATATTTTTCTTTCGAAAATATTGATTTTCTGCTCCCGGCGCCCGGGAACCCCTTCCGGGCCGCTTCCGGCACCCGGGCCGGCGCTCGAGCCGAACGCCTGGGCCAGCACCCGGGCCAGCGCCCGGGCCGGTTCCGGCGCCGGCCGGCGCCGGAAAATTGAATTCCGAGGCGGTGCCGAAAAAAGGCCACTCCAAGACATATTTTTCTTTCGAAAATATTGATTTTCTGCTCCCGGCGCCCGGGAACCCCTTCCGGGCCGCTTCCGGCACCCGGGCCGGCGCTCGAGCCGAACGCCTGGGCCGGCACCACACAGGAGCGCGGCAAACCACAAAGGAGCAAGGCAGACCCCAAATGAGCACGGCAGTCCACACGTTCGCACGGCAGACCGCACAGGAGCACGGCAGACCCCACATGAGCACGGCAGACCAAGAAGGAGCACGGCAGACCACACAGGAGCACGGCAGACCACACAGGAGCACGGCAGACCACACAGGACACGGCAGACCCCACGGGAGCACGGCAGACCACACAGGAGCACGGCAAACCACACAAGAGCACGGCAGACCATACAGGAGCACGCCAGACCACACAGGAACACGGCAGACCACACGTTCGCACGGCAAACTCCGCAGGAGCACGGCAGACCCCAAAGAAACACGGCAGTGGTACGTGGCACTGCTGTGGTATGCCGTACTAAAAACGTGGAATATCTCATAAGCCCAGGGGACAAAAGGACGCTTCCCTGACCGGACAAGAACGGGAAGCGCCGTTTTTTATCCACCACGTGCGTCAGAGACCGTATTGGCGAGAACGTCAGAGAAACCCATAAACGCAACAGAACAGACTAAATGATGGCCTGCCGCGTTCCGACGGCCCAAGACGGCCCAAGAGGCCCCCAAGATCGCTTTAAGATCGCCCAAGAGGCCTTCAAGATGGCCCCGAAACGGCCCAAGAAGTCCCCAAGACGGTCCCAAGAGGGCCCTAACACGGCGCAAGAGGCCTCCAAGACGCCCAAGATGTCTTCCAAGACGGCCAAGATGGCCTCCAAGACGGCTAAGATGGCTCCAAGAGGGCCCCAAGACGGCCCAAGAGGCCTCGAAGACGGTCTGCCGTGCTCCTGTGGTCTGCCGTGCTCCTTTGGGGTCTGCCGTGCTCCTGTGGAGTTTGCCGTGCGAACGTGTGGTCTGCCGTGCTCCTGTGTGGTCTGGCGTGCTCCTGTATGGTCTGCCGTGCTCTTGTGTGGTTTGCCGTGCTCCTGTGTGGTCTGCCGTGCTCCCGTGGGGTCTGCCGTGTCCTGTGTGGTCTGCCGTGCTCCTGTGTGGTCTGCCGTGCTCCTGTGTGGTCTGCCGTGCTCCTTCTTGGTCTGCCGTGCTCATGTGCGGTCTGCCGTGCTCCTGTGCGGTCTGCCGTGCGAACGTGTGGACTGCCGTGCTCATTTGGGGTCTGCCTTGCTCCTTTGTGGTTTGCCGCGCTCCTGTGTGGTCTGCCGTGCTCCTGTGTGGTCAGCAGACCCAGGGCTGAGGGAAGGCTGGAGCAGTGCTCTGGTGGTCCATCACCCGCCCAGCTCCGTCCCCTCCCACTCTGGACCGATCTTGCGGGAAGCTGGCTTGTGGCAGCGCATCGCGCGTCCATAGCGTTCGTGTGCTTGCTTTTACCTCCTTTAATGTCTGCTCCACCTCTCCTTGAGACGCAGAAGCCTCCGAGCGCCGGGAGCAGAAATGATGCACTTTCGAAAAATCTGTTTGGATGAGTTTTGTTAGCGCGGCCTCGGAGTTCAATTTTTCCGGCGACGGCCAGAGCCGACGCCAGCGCTGGATCCGGCTCGGCCGCCAGCCCAGGTGCCGGCCCGGGCGTTCGGTTCGAGCGCCGGCCTGGGTGCCGGAATCGGCCCGGAAGGGGTTCCAGGGCGCCGGGAGCAGAAAATCAATATTTTCGAAAGAAAAATATGTCTTGGAGTGGCCTTTTTTCCGCACCGCTCCGGAATTCAATTTTCCGGCGCCGGCCGGCGCCGGAACCCGGCCCGGTTTTCCCAAAATGGCCATTTCGCTCGAGACATCCTCGAAAAATCGAGGTGTTGGAGGCTATCGTTTAAGACGTCTTATGTTAAAAATGACGGTTTCGCTCGAGACATCCTCAAAACATCGGGATGTTGAAAAATATCAAGAAATTTTTGTTATGCATGAAAAATGAGCGTTTCGCTCGAGACATCCTCGAAAAAATGAGATGCCGACAGAGGTGTTTTACAACCTCTTATGTTAAAAATGACGTTTTCGCTCGGGACGTCCTCAGAAAATGAGCAGGAGCACGGCAGGCGGAAAAAAAGGAGCACGGCAGACCACACAGGAGCACGGCAGACCCCACAAGAGCACGGCAGACCACAAAGGAGCACGGCAGACCAAAGAGACGACACAAGGAGCACAGCAGATCCCGCAGGAGCACGGCAGACACCACACGAGCACGGCAGATCCCAAATGAGCACGGCAGACCACAGAAGCACTGCAGGCAGACCACAGAAGCACTGCAGACCACACAAGAGCACCGCAGACCTCACAGGAGCACGGCAGACCCCACAGGAGCACGGCAGACCCCACAGGAGCACGGCAAACCACAAAGGAGCACGGCAGACCACAGGAGCACGGCAAACCACACAGGAGCACGGCAGACCACACAGGAGCACGGCAATCCCCACAGGAGCACGGCAGACCGCGCGCAGGTACAACATAAACGCGCCTTTTGTTGTACCCCGAACGCCGCTGGCGTTTCCCCCACAGGAGCACGGCAGACCCCACAAGCTCGCGGGAAACCCCAAATGAGCACGGCAGACCACAGGAGCACGGCAGACCACACAGGAGCACGGCAGACGCCACAGGAGCACGGCAGACCGCGCAGGAGCACGGCCGGCGCCGGAAAATTGAATTCCGAGGCGGTGCCGAAAAAAGGCCACTCCAAGACATATTTTTCTTTCGAAAATATTGATTTTCTCCTCCCGGCGCCCTGGAACCCCTTCCGGGCCGATTCCGGCACCCGGGCCGGCGCTCGAGCCAAACGCCCGGGCCGGCACCCGGGCCAGCGCCCGGGCCGGTTCCGGCGCCGGCCGGCGCCGGAAAATTGAATTCCGAGGCGGTGCCGAAAAAAGGCCACTCCAAGACACATTTTTCTTTCGAAAATATTGATTTTCTGCCTCCCGGCGCCCGGGAACCCCTTCCGGGCCGCTTCTGGCACCCGGGCCGGCGCTCGAGCCAACGCCCGGGCCAGCACCCGGGCCAGCGCCCGGGCCGGTTCCGGCGCCGGCCGGCGCCGGAAAATTGAATTCCGAGGCGGTGCCAAAAAAGGCCACTCCAAGACATATTTTTCTTTCGAAAATATTGATTTTCTGCTCCCGGCGCCCGGGAACCCCTTCCGGGCCGCTTCCGGCACCCGGGCCGGCGCTCGAGCCGAACGCCTGGGCCAGCACCCGGGCCAGCGCCCGGGCCGGTTCCGGCGCCGGCCGGCGCCGGAAAATTGAATTCCGAGGCGGTGCCGAAAAAAGGCCACTCCAAGACATATTTTCTTTCGAAAATATTGATTTTCTCCTCCCGGCGCCCGGGAACCCCTTCCGGGCCGCTTCCGGCACCCGGGCCGGCGCTCGAGCCAAACGCCTGCCAGCACCCGGGCCAGCGCCCGGGCCGGTTCCGGCGCCGGCCGGCGCCGGAAAATTGAATTCCGAGGCGGTGCGGAAAAAAGGCCACTCCAAGACATATTTTTCTTTCGAAAATATTGATTTTCTGCTCCCGGCGCCCTGGAACCCCTTCCGGGCCGATTCCGGCACCCAGGCCGGCGCTCGAACCGAACGCCCGGGCCGGCACCTGGGCTGGCGGCCGAGCCGGATCCAGCGCTGGCGTCGGCTCTGGCCGTCGCCGGAAAAATTGAATTCCGAGGCCGCGCTAACAAAACTCATCCAAACAGATTTTTCGAAAGTGCATCATTTCTGCTCCCGGCGCTCGGAGGCTTCTGCGTCTCAAGGAGAGGTGGAGCAGACATTAAAGGAGGTAAAAGCAAGCACACGAACGCTATGGACGCGCGATGCGCTGCCACAAGCCAGCTTCCCGCAAGATCGGTCCAGAGTGGGAGGGGACGGAGCTGGGCGGGTGATGGACCACCAGAGCACTGCTCCAGCCTTCCCTCAGCCCTGGGTCTGCTGACCACACAGGAGCACGGCAGACCACACAGGAGCGCGGCAAACCACAAAGGAGCAAGGCAGACCCCAAATGAGCACGGCAGTCCACACGTTCGCACGGCAGACCGCACAGGAGCACGGCAGACCGCACATGAGCACGGCAGACCAAGAAGGAGCACGGCAGACCACACAGGAGCACGGCAGACCACACAGGAGCACGGCAGACCACACAGGACACGGCAGACCCCACGGGAGCACGGCAGACCACACAGGAGCACGGCAAACCACACAAGAGCACGGCAGACCATACAGGAGCACGCCAGACCACACAGGAGCACGGCAGACCACACGTTCGCACGGCAAACTCCACAGGAGCACGGCAGACCCCAAAGGAGCACGGCAGACCACAGGAGCACGGCAGACCGTCTTCGAGGCCTCTTGGGCCGTCTTGGGGCCCTCTTGGAGCCATCTTAGCCGTCTTGGAGGCCATCTTGGCCGTCTTGGAAGACATCTTGGGCGTCTTGGAGGCCTCTTGCGCCGTGTTAGGGCCCTCTTGGGACCGTCTTGGGGACTTCTTGGGCCGTTTCGGGGCCATCTTGAAGGCCTCTTGGGCGATCTTAAAGCGATCTTGGGGGCCTCTTGGGCCGTCTTGGGCCGTCGGAGCGCGGCAGGCCATCATTTAGTCTGTTCTGTTGCGTTTATGGGTTTCTCTGACGTTCTCGCCAATACGGTCTCTGACGCACGTGGTGGATAAAAAACGGCGCTTCCCGTTCTTGTCCGGTCAGGTTCCCCAAAATGGCCATTTCGCTCGAGACATCCTCAAAAAATCGAGGTGTGGTCTGCCGTGCTCCTGTGTGGTCTGCCGTGCTCCTGTGGTCTGCCGTGCTCCCCACAGGAGCACGGCAGACCGCGCGCAGGAACCGAGAGGAGCACGGCAGACCAAGACGAGGAGCACGGCAGACCAGGCACTGAAACCGAGAGGAGCACGGCAGACCAAGACGAGGAGCACGGCAGACCAGGCACCAAGAGCGCCCTCAAGACGACGGAAAGGATGACCAAGACGAGGAGCACGGCAGACCAAGACGAGGAGCACGGCAGACTATGCCCTAAGAGTGCCCTCAAGACGGCCGAACAATCATCAAACAAACAATGAGTCTAACGTCGTCTTGGAATCGTTTTTGAGGGCATCAGTACGGCCCCCCAAAAACAAAATCGGCCCAAAGATGACCCGCAGAGTGCCCTCAATACGGCCGACCATGACGATTTCGCTGGGGACGTGTTCAATAAATTAAGAGTGTATCAGCACCGTCTGCTGCAACAACGCTGTGCTGGTCTGCCGTTCTCCTGTGGTCAGCTGTGCTGCTCTGCCGTGCTCCTGCGGTCTGCCGTTCTGGTCTGCCGTTCTGGTCTGCCGTGCTCCTGTGGTCTGCCTTCCTGGTCTGCCGTGCTGCTGCCGTCTGTCGTGTTGCTGCGCTGTGCCGTGTAAGCTGATAAACCGGTCAGACCGATGAAGAAAACGAGAGTCGGGTTACAACGGCTACGCAGATTTAAACTGCTAGTCCAAAGGCTCTCCAGAGGACCCCAACATCTCCCAAGCACACCCCGAGAAGTCCATCATCATCATCATCCTCATCATCATCATCATCATCATCATCATCATCATCATCACCATACTCATACTCATACTCATCATCATCATCATCCTCCTCCTCCTCATCATCATCATTATCATCATCGTACGCATCACCATCACCATCAGCAGCAACATGATCATCACCAACAACAGCAGCGTCAATGACATGATCTGGTCTGCTATGTTCCTATGGGCTGCCGTGCTGGTCTGCCGTGCTGGTCTGCCGTGCCGGACTGCCGTGCTCGTCTGCCGTGTCGGTGTGTTGTGCTGGTCTGCCGTGCGGGTCTGCTGTTCTGGTCTGCCGTGCTGAAGCTGAAGCTTTGGGGGCTTAAAGCCAGAGAAAGAGAGAGACATAGAGAGATAGAGAGGGAGAGAGATTCTCTAACTAAGGGGTACGGGCTCCATCCCGAAACTCGTTGGCGGTTCTCTAACTAAGGGGTACGGGCTCCATCCCGAAACTCGTTGGCGGATGACGGGAAGCGTCTTCGAGGTACGACAAGCAAGCGGGACGTTCTGGCTGAATCCTTGAGTAAATATATCTTTTCTTTAACTATATGGGTTGCCGCGCTGCACGGGATTTTTCGTTAACGGATTCCCCAAAATGGTCTGGCGTGCTCCTGTATGGTCTGCCGTGCTCTTGTGTGGTTTGCCGTGCTCCTGTGTGGTCTGCCGTGCTCCCGTGGGGTCTGCCGTGTCCTGTGTGGTCTGCCGTGCTCCTGTGTGGTCTGCCGTGTTCCGGAAAATTGGCCGTTTCGCTCGGGACGTCCTCAAAAAATCGGCTCCGGAGGGGACTCCGAAGCAGCATTATCTTGGAATCGCTCCCGGAGGGCCTCCAAACGGCCCAAGAAAGCCCCCGAAGGCCCCCCAGAGGACCCCCAGAGCGCCCCAAGAGACCCCCAAGAGGCCCCCAAGGGGCGGCCAGAGGCCCGCCAGAGCGCCCAAAACGCCCCAAGAGACCCCCAAGAAGCCCCCCAGGGGCTCCAAAGAGGCGGCCAGAAGTCCCCCAGAACGCGCGAAAAGGCTCCAGGAGTTCCCTGAGAGCTTCATATCGCCCCATAGAGCCCCCGAAGGCCCCCCCCGGGACTCCCCCAAGAGGCCCCTTTCGTTAACGGATTCCCCAAAATGGTCTGGCGTGCTCCTGTCTGGCGTGCTCCTGTATGGTCTGCCGTGCTCTTGTGTGGTTTGCCGTGCTCCTGTGTGGTCTGCCGTGCTCCCGTGGGGTCTGCCGTGTCCTGTGTGGTCTGCCGTGCTCCTGTGTGGTCTGCCGTGTTCCGGAAAATTGGCCGTTTCGCTCGGGACGTCCTCAAAAAATCGGCTCCGGAGGGGACTCCGAAGCAGCATTATCTTGGAATCGCTCCCGGAGGGCCTCCAAACGGCCCAAGAAAGCCCCCGAAGGCCCCCCAGAGGACCCCCAGAGCGCCCCAAGAGACCCCCAAGAGGCCCCCAAGGGGCGGCCAGAGGCCCGCCAGAGCGCCCAAAACGCCCCAAGAGACCCCCAAGAAGCCCCCCAGGGGCTCCAAAGAGGCGGCCAGAAGTCCCCCAGAACGCGCGAAAAGGCTCCAGGAGTTCCCTGAGAGCTTCATATCGCCCCATAGAGCCCCCGAAGGCCCCCCCCGGGACTCCCCCAAGAGGCCCCCGAGAGGCCAGAGGCTACGACAGCCCCAAGAGCGTCCAAGATACCTCCAAGACGGCGCCGAAGCCAGGAAACGCAACAGGGATGTTCTCTGACGTTCTCGCCAATACGGTCTCTGACGCACGTGGTGGATAAAAAACTGCGCTTCCCGTTCTTGTCCGGTCAGGTTCCGGAAAATTGCGGAAAAATTGTCACTCCGCTCAAAAAATCTGACCAAGACGCGCCCAAGACGGCCACCAGGGCTCCAAGACGGCCCAAGAGCGCTCCAAGACCGCCCTAGAGCGTTCCAAGATGCCCTAAGATGGCTTCCAGACGGTCCAAGAGAGCTCCAAGACGGCCCAGGAGGCCCTCAAGAGGCCTCCAAGACGCCTCAAGAGGCTTCGAAGAGGCCTCACAAGAGCGCCAAAGAGGCACAAATCTATGATTTTTGAATAGTTTTTGAAGGTTTTTGGGGTTCTCGCCTTTTCCGTTTCCCGACGCTCCAAGACGGCCCAACAGGCCCCCAAGATCGCCCCAAGACAGCCCAAGGGGCCCCCAAGATCGCCTCAAGACGGCCCAAGAGGCCCCGAAGACGGCCCCAAGAAGGCACCAGAAGGCCCCAAGGCGGCCCCAAGACGGCCCCAAGAGGCTTCGCGGCGGCCCAAGAGGCCGTCAATATGGCTCCTAGAGGGGGCCCAGACGAGGTACACGAACGGACTTTTCGGGTCCTCGGCCCCAAGTGCCCCCCTCGGAGGGTCCAGGAGGCCCCCGGGAGCCCCCCAAGACGCTCCAAGAGGCCCCCAAGAGGCCCCATAAAGGCCCCCAAGATGCCCCCAAGACGGCCCCCCAAAACGGCCCCCAAGAGGCTTCAGAATTGCTTCTCAGAGGCCTACGAGAGACTGACCACGACATCCCAAGGCTTCATTACGAACGATGACGTGGGCAGCTTCGAACGCCAGAGCTCCCAGTACGAACGCTGGCGTCCAGAGCTTTGACGACAAACGCTGCTATGAGCAAAAACGGCGCTTCCCGTTCTTGTGCGGTCAGGTTTTGGAGCCCGTTCGGAAAAAAAAACAGACCCAGCGATCACGCGCGTGATCGGCCTGGCCCCCCCCCTCTGTGGTCACGTCACGGCGGTTGTCCAGTGGCGACCGCAGACGTTCTGTCGCGCGGCGCTCGCAGGCTACTGTGGTGTTCAGAGGCCTGTTGTTGTGCTCACATGGACGTTGTGGTACTCGCGAAGTAAAGTTGGGCTTGCGTGCGTGCCGCGTGGTGCTCTCAGGTACGCAGTGTTGTTCTGTTGCTGAGAGGCATTGGCGCGGCGGTCGGAGCGCGGTGGTCGCAGTTGCAGGCGCTGGGTGGTGTATACGGGCACTGAATGCGCACACGGGCGTTGTGTAGTATATGAACGTTGCGATGTTCATAATCACTGTGGCGCGCGCAGGCACTGCGGGCTCAAATGCAGGGGGCCGTGTCCAGGGTAAGAAAAAAGGAGGACGAGGAGGATGGGGAGGAGGAGGAGGCGGAGGAGGAGGACAACGATGACGAAGACGAGGAGGGGGAGGAGGACGAGGACCTTCTCCCGTTCTCAATCGCCCAATCATCACCAGGACAAAGTGAGGGTGCAACGTCAGGCTGAGGGCAAGGTTTCGCTTTCTTCCAGGGTTTCTCCCCGGTTCCTGCAGGGTTCACTCGCCTCGGGATGCTTCCCAGCAGCTGCGCCTCGCCGACTATGTGGTTCAAGCCATTGCCGACTATTGTTGCTACTATTAGTGCGGCCACTGCTACTACTATTATTAATGTTGCTATTACTACTGCTATTACCACGTTTGCTACTACCACTACTACAACTATTTTGAATATCGCTACGAGTACTCCTACTAGTACTACCATTGTTACGACTATTCCTACCACTACTACTACTACTACTACTACTACTACTACTACTACTACTACTACTACTACTACTACTACTACTACTACTACTATACTACTACTACATACTCTACTACTACTACTACTACTACTACTACTACTACTACTACTACTACTACTACTACTACTACTACTACTACTACTACTACTACTACTACTACTACTACTACTACTGCTACTACTACGCTGCTACTACTACTACTGTTGCTGCTGCTACAACTACTACTACTATACTATACTATACTAAAATATACTATACGACTACTACTACTACAACTACTACTACTACTACTACCGCGTCTATTACTACGGCTACTATTATTTCTCTACTACTACTACTGGTATTTGTAGTCTTTCTACCAGCACTCCATCTATTTGTCTTAGTACAACAACTACAACTACTACTAACGTTAGTACTATTCATACTAATACTACGAGTATTACCACGACTATTACTAACACTACTATGGCCACTACTATTATTATTATTACTACTGCTATTACTAGTACCATCAGTTTTACTACTGCGACTACTACTACTACCACTACAACTACTACACAAGTACTAGTACTACTACTACGACTACTACCACTACTACCCTCAGTAGTACTACTACTACTACTGCTACTACTACTACTACTGCTACTGCTATTATTCTTTTTGTTCGTACGGCCACCAGTACTACTACTACCATTATTACTACTACTACTACTACTACTACTACTACTACTACTACTACGTACTTGTGATAGTATATCTACCACTACTACTACTACTATTCCTAGCACGAGTACTACTACTCTTACTACTACCGCTACTCCTACTACTACTACCACCACTAATGTTACTAGTACTCGTAGTACTAGTACCACTGATACTAGTACTACCACTACTACTACTACTACTACTACTACTATTACTACTACTACTACTACCATTAGTACTAGTACCACTACGACTACTACTACTACTACTACTACTACTACTACTACTACTGCTACTACTACTACTACTACTACTACCCCTACTACTACGACGACTACTACTACGAATAGTATTTCTAACACTACTACTACTAGTATTCACCCTACTATTACAACAACAACCATGACTACTACTACTAAGATTACAACTGCTCATACTACTACTACGACTACTACAACCATTACCATCACTACTGCTACCACTACTCTCTCTACTACTACTACTACTACTACTACTACTACTACTACTACTACTACTACTACTACTACTACTACTACTACTACTACTACTACTACTACTACTACTACTACTACGACTACTACGACTACTACTACTACTACTACTACTACTACTACTACTACTACTTCTACGAGTACAACCACAAGAACTACTACTACTACTACTATTAGTGTCATTACTATTACTACTACGACTACTCGACTATTTCCGGTACTATCATTACCAGTACCACCACTTCTATTACTTTTGATGGCATATGTACTACTACTTTTCCTACCAGCACTACTGCTACTTCTACTACTACTACTACTACTACTACTACTACTACCACCACCACCACCACCACCACTACTACTACTACTACTACTGCTACTACCACTACTACTACTAATACTACTACTATTACTATTAGTACTACCGCTACTACTACTAGTACGACCTACTACTACTACTACTACTAATACTACTACTACTACGACTCTTACTACTACGACGACGACGACGACTACTACTACTACCCCTACTACAACAACTACTACTACTACATTACTAACACTACAGGCTGTAGTAGCAGTAGTAGTACTACTACTACTATTAGTAGTAGTAGTCGTAATACTACTGCTATCTGCCATACGGCTACTACATCTGATACTACTACTACTACTACTACTGCTACGACTGCTACTGCTACTATTACTACTACTTCTACTACTACTACTACTAGTACTACTACTACTACTACTACTACTACTACTACTACTACTACTACTACTACTAGTACCTCTACTACTACTACTACTACTACTACCACCACCACTACTACAACTACTACTACTATTACTACTACTCCTACTGCTGCTAGTACTACTATTACTACTGCTACTAGTGCTGCTAATGCTACTACTACTGCTACTAGTACTGCTGCTACTACTAATACAACTACTACCTTTACTGCTAGTACTACTACTACTACTACTACTACTACTACTACTACTACTACTACTACTACTACTACTACTACTACTAGTACTACTACTACTACTACTACTACTACTACTACTACTACTACTACTACTACTACTACTACTATTACTATTACTACTACTACTACTATTACTACTACGACTACTGCTACTGCTACTGCTAGTGTTTGCGCACTGCCGTTGGGCTGTAGGCTGTTTGGTGCTCGCGCGCGCTGCGTTCATGTTCACAAGCGCTGTGGCACTTTCTGGCTGTGCAGTATGCGCAGGCGATGTGTATTTACAGGTGCTGTGGTGTTCGCAGGCGCTGTGTTCACAGGCGTTTGGATGTTCACAGGCGCTGTGGTATTCACGGTCGCTGTGCTCTTCAAAAGCATTGTGATTTTCATAGGCACGTCGTGATTGTCGGGTCGCAAGCTTTTTTTTGTTCGCAGGCGCACTGCGGTGCTTGCGGGCATGCTGCAACACTGCAAGCGCACCCTCGCCGTGACGTGATCGGCGCGACGGACACCCCCCCACCCGCCCCGATCATGCGCGTGATCGGCCCGAATAAACGAACGGGCTCTTGGCTACGCATACCATCGTGACCCCCCCTTTGGGACCAAGCGTTTCGCTCCATACAGGGGCCCTGCATTACAAAACGCGCCGTTGAAGCCTCGCAGACTTCTCCCGTCATACGAAGATCGCCTTCGTATCGAATCTGGCGCTGCGTCCACACATCCATGCTGCTGTTCTCCGCTCCCCCGTTACGGTCATTCGCCAGCGTGTCGCAGCATTCGCGCGTTTCCCGAAACTACCACAGGTTGGCGCCATATCCATCTTTGATTTTCCCGCACCCGTGATTGTATGATCCTTGGCACGCGTGCCTCTGGTTGTGGATCCCCTTGCCGGGTAACCGTTGTACTTTTCAACTAAAGTGTTTCCCCTGGGGCTCGCATCCTTTTTTTGCCAGGGAGCGTAAGGTGTCACCAAACTGTGCCCTTGGCTCCCGGTTTACAACAACAGCGGTTCCCGCCTGATATTCCCTCACACTTTATTCCCACATCGCGCTTTCGCGGGGGCCCACCAACAATTTATGCAGGCATCGCGCTCTCGCGTGGGACTTCCTTGCCATTGGTTCAAACGCTGCGTCCTCGACGCTCAGGAAGGAATCACGCTCTCGCAATGGATTTTTTTTATGATTCATTTGGGAATCGCGCTATTGCTCGAGACTGCCTCGCGATTCGTGCAGGGCGCACGTTTCAGCGACCTGCCTGCTCGACCTGGCCGCCTGGGCCCGCCTTCCCGACCCGCCCGTTAGGGTCTACCAGCCTGATCTGTCCATCTGGTTCTGCCACGTGTTTTCTGCTCCTGGCCCCCCTCCTGCTATTCTCTGTTGTGTTCAATCCTCCTCCCTCCCCCTTGCCCCTTCCTTCCATCCGTCCTCTTCTTCCCTGCCTAAGGAGCTGCACGAAATACACGTAGCAGGTAAGAAATACATACCCTTAAGGGGGTACGATCGAAGAAAACAGGGCGGGTATCGATGGTGTGGGATAGACGTGTTGAACTGCACGCGGGCAGACAAGATCAAACAATCTTACAGTGATTGTTGTTGTGGTTGTCGACGTTGTCGTCGTCGTTGTTGTTGTTGCTATTGTTGTGATTGTTGTGGTTGTTGTGGTTGTTCTTGTTGTTGTGGTTGTTGTTGTGGTTGTTGTTGTTCTTGTTGTTCTTGTTGTTCTTATTGTTGTTGTCGTCGTTGCTGCCGTTGTTTATTGTTGAATGTTCATGTATGGAGAATATATTTATATATTGTTGACCCCCCCTTTGGTGCCCCCTGATCCCTCTTCACTTGTCCCTTGTCCTTTCTCCCCCCTTACCCCCCCCTCTCTCTCTTTTCTTCCTCCCTCCTCCCTCCTCTATGTTCCTTATATGCTCCTCCCACTTCGTCTCCTCTCTCCAACTCCGTCCTCGCCAGCTCCCTGCCTCCCTCCTACCGCTTGTGCGTTGTGCTGGTTCTGCATGTTTTGTCGCTCATTGATGCATGTGTCTTGGCCGTGGCCATTCAAGACGCGAAGCCTTCTTGACGTCGGCTATTTCTTTTCCACGAGTCGAGGAGGTCTATGATAAAAGAGCGGTGGTGATGAGGAGGGTGAGGGGATATGCGAAGGAAGTGTTTCATGTCTCTGAAAGCCGTTCACCCCGTTCACCTGTTTGCCCCCTTCAATCTTTATGTATCCCCGCGATTTCAATTGCAATCGTAGCGGCCTCCATTGCGAAGGTGACATCTATATCTTGGAGCGTCGACTCGAAGAGACTTTCGACCGTTGGCGCGGACAAGATAGTGCAGCTTTTTGACGAGCAGGGCTCCAAGGTGGATCGCTTCAGCACCAAGCCTGCTGACAAGGACGTGCTGATGTCGACAGGTCTATGACAGCGGCGGTTAGACAGTGGCAAGATATCTAGCAGGGGAGTAGGCGCAGTGTCCTGATACAGCACGGTTCTCGATTGCTTTTGGTGACTTTGTGTTTGAGCATGCCTGCATGATATGCTTCCTGGGAGAGATCAGGACCGCCCCCTGCCCTGTGGTTTCGAAGCCAGCCATCAATGCCTGGAAGCGATGTCCGACTAAATATCCGCAAGGAATCTACGCAAGCGGCTATGAGCGAGCTCGCGGCATAGCCGTGTGGCGTGAGATGGATTCCCAGGCCACTTGTTTTTGCTTCTCGAATTCTCGCGTGCTGCTCTGAAGCGTTCTTGTGATCGACCTTCCTCCTCCTCCTCCTCCTTCCACTCCTCCTCCAAGCGCAGGGCTGTAGTTCTGTGATTTCATTTCGCATCAGTCAAGGCGCTTCGCGATCACAGCTTGCACTTTCCGTTCTCGCGGTAGTCGGCGACTACCCGCGAGCATGACCAGTAGGACCGCATGGGGACCAAGAACGGCTCGAACACTGCGCCGTTACGGAGGGCCCCCAGGAGGGGCGCACCGGGCTCCAAATAGGTCTTCAGGTTGGTTCCAGAGGGCCCTTGAGACAGACCTCCGACAACCCCAAGAGCGCTCCAAGATGTCCCAAACAGTCGCCCAATAGGGTCCCAAGTTGGCGCCAGGGCGGCCAAAGTAGCGCCAAGACGAAATACTGGCTCCAGGTTCGTGCTGCACATAAGAAAAATTGCGACTTTGGAGTCGTCTTGGGTACCGTTTGGGCACCTCTCTGAGCCATCTTGCCCCTTTTGCCCTCCTGGATACTTTTTGCCACTGTAGTTGTCTCTCTTGGAGGCCTTTCGGGGCGAGTCTCGAGCAGAGCCTTCTGTGGTGACTTGGAGGAGCCGTCGGAAGAGCCGTTGGAGGCTCAACAACTCTAAAGCGAGCTGAGGGACGTAAGGAGTGGAAGCGAGCGTGCGCCCGCGGCCGCGTCGGCTCAAGCGGCCGGCCGCCCAAGTTTGGCTGTGCCTCATTGCGAGGCATACCATCGCTATCGAGACCAAAAGGATTTTCCTATGGCTTGAGATGGCATCTCCTCTCATACTGGGATTATCGTTACTACGGTACAACAGAGTTGGAGCTTGGCTTCGCCTGAGGCGAGGCTGTTGGCTGGGCCTTCCAGCCCCCTTCAAACTTGGTAGCGGAGTAGGCCTATGGTGGTCAGCTCTAGTTCTACTCCTCACAATCCACGGCACTATCTGGTGGACTACAGATATGGCGGAACATCAGGGTGCAGTTGGATTACGCGGAGGAATGTATACAACTACGCAATGCCGCAAAGAAACTTGCAGCGATACCTCTGTCCAAGCGGAGGTCTCTCACTCACATCTTACATCCCTGCGCTATTACACTCCTGAAGTCCACCCACCTACTCCAATGGGAAATTTCTTCGAAGACATAATGCATGGAAACATGCGATACGACATACTGCCGCCTCCGGCCCCGCGCAGACTTACGACGACAAAACATAAGTCCCCACCGACTACATCCGATTACGACCTACGAGGCCACTGGATTGGGGTTGCTATCTTTGGGCTCCTCATATGGGTCGCTATTGGGTGTGCGGTAGGACATGCGCGGGGCGGAGACGACACTATAACGACTGGCCCCCATTGGGGCCCTGCTGGTCAAGCACCATTTCGCGAGTTCGTCCGCGAAGTACATGCCTGGATCAATGTGACCGCAGGCAACATGACGCCCTCCCAGCAAGCCGCAGCATTGCAGCGAGGTTTGGGAGGTCTCGCGCGGACTATAGCCATGGGCCATGAGAGTCCCCCCAGCATTTATTAACTTGGCGTCAATATAGGCGGTCGCCACACCGACGGCGCCACCTACACTATGTTCCTCTTAAGTACGAAGTTCGAGAACCTAGAAGAGGAACGCCAACTCAACTCTGGCCTGGCTCTTATTGACTTTCGAGTCCATGCGGGTGAACGTATCGTCCAGACGTTAGCACGGTTTGAGATAGCCCGCTACGAAGCTGAAACCGCCGGCTTCAATATCCCCAACTTACAAATCCTAACAGTAATGATGCTCAGAGCTCTTGGAGGGGGGACATCGCGTGCACAACAACTCCTGCAGCCTCTGAACCACCACGTGCCGAGGGACCAACCACAATTTGACGCTCTACTTGAACGTATGATGTCATATGCTCACATAGCTGAGAGGACCCCCGGCAATCTTGGTGGCATCTTTAGCCGCGGTCACCGAACCGAGACCTTCCACGCAGAGGCCAACGCAGGGCAACCTGCCAACGACGTCTGGAACGATGATCCACAGCCAACTGAGACCACTACACTGTTGGCTCAGAATGGTGGAACGGCCTCGGGGTCGCAAGACCCCTGGGCCAGATCTAGGGGGCCGCCCGACGCGGCTTCCCTTATACAAGCTATGACCCTAATGGGCTCAGCGGGGCAGCTCGCCGAGTCCGACTTCGACTCCGGTACCGATGCGGATGCGTCTTCCGATGATGAAGCTACCGCCTTGGATTACTCTGATATGCCAACGTACCTTACTGAAGAGCAACGAGCTCAATGGTTATTTTTGGGCCATCAAAAACATAAGCGTCGTTGGCGGAGGTTCGTGAAGAAACCGTTTCGAAGGGTAAGACGTATTGTACGACGGTTACTTAATGGAAAAGGCAAGGGTCGAAGTGAAGGCAAAGGTAAGCGTCGGCGATTACATGGTAGAGGCATGCTAGCATTCCTAGCGTCTCTTACTGGACCTCAGTATGAAGAAATGTTTTAGGTACTGGCAGACACCGCAGGCGCACATCAGGTAAAGGTCAAGGGCGACGAGGAACTCCAAAGGATGCCAACGGTAAAACTATGGAGCGCGACGTATGTCACAGTGCACACCATTTCCGACGCGAATGCCCCCAAGGTGATGGAAGGGGCAGGGGTCCGTCAATGCATCTGGCTCAAACGGACTCCGACATAAAGTATGTTGATTGGTGGTCGCTTCTAGCCGACCCTGCCGACGGCTCAGCCACAATTGTTCATTTCGTTGCTGGCAGGTGTCTAAATGCCAGCATGACCCTCGAGAATTACGCCGGCGAGCTGTTCGAGGAGGCGTTCGCTGGCCACAGCGACATCGATTTGGCCGAATGGCTGGGTGCGCCCATCGCGGGGCAACCTGCAGATATTGAACTTGTCGAGAACATTCCACGTGCCCGTCCAAGGTGATTTTGGCATGGCGGGGGCGCCCGCAGATTCAGATTCTACCATTCCTGCGACAAATGAGGAAATACATGCGATGCTTCATCCTCGGGTGATTGGAAATCCGGCAAACGTGGAATTCATCGAGGGTGATCCTTCGCGGGGACGCCCGCGCGACGCTGGTGATGTATCTGGGCGTATTCAATCTGAGCTTGGCCATAACGAAGAATTTCAATATATTTTTGTTGCGTCAGATCGGTCCGCCAGCCGCCGGAGACGATCGCCGAGCCGCCTACCCTTGATAAGGAAGAGCTATCATGACGATCCCTGTCTCCCCCCAGTGGACGAGGAGGACGAGGGGGAAGACGATGGCCGCGTGATGCGTCGCGGTCGGGCTCCCAGCCACTCGCCGGATCGTGCGCGAGCCTGCTCTAGCAGTGCTCGTTCGAGCGGTGTTCAGCGTCCTCATCCTCCTGATGCGGGGGCCGCAAGGGGCCCGCCATGGCAGGCGACTAGAGCACGTGCCCCCCCAAGGAGGGACCGTCTGCGGGGGAACCCGCCTCCGGATGACCAACGTCGAGGAGGAGAATATCCAGAAGGTGACATGCAGCGTTTGAATGTCTACGCTGAAGCTGGACTGGCTCGTCAGTACATACCCGCAAACCAGATGGAATGCTGCTTGGAAAAGGGTTGGCATCAAATCCGGCACTGGTATTCTCTTCGTCAGGTCAAACGAGATGATGCAGGCGATCTCATGCGTTCGAAGCGGGGCCTACAAAATCGCCGGAAAAATACTGTCAAGCGCGACCTCGACATGGCCATCATCGAGGATCGAAAGCGCTACGGAGGCGTTTGTTGCACATGCCCCAGCTTTGCTGATCGCAGGCTCGGCTGCCCCATGAGACGCCCATCAAGAAGCCCGAATTTCAAGGGAACGCCGTGGGTTTGGTCTCATGGAGATGGTCGGGGTCACTGTGCTGATCCCAACACTACGCCCAATCGCCCTTTCAAGCCTCGTTTGGGAGAACGTGATACCTACTCATCATTTGGCGCAGTTCAATCGCGAGTGGCACGCGGGGCAATCTGCTGATCACACACCAGAAGGAGCAGGCCAACAAGAAGCTGGTGAATATGATTATGATGAAATGGCTGAAGAAGTTGATCCTACGGGCGCTGCCCCTGCAGGCTGCGAGTCAAGTGATTCGGGTATTGCGGACGTTACGTGCGGGGCGGATACTCCGATCGACCCCGATTACGTTGCCGCGAGAAAGATGGATCTATCTCCTGGGAGGCGGACTGTTTACCGTGCTGGTGCTATTCGCTTGATAAAGACAAGCGTAGCCGAAATACGGAACGCCGATGCGTATTTGGTTGCACATAAACACAATGTCTCAATTCAGAATATGGCCTTCAGGAGGCCAGATGGTGTCGATCTGAATCCTGACCGAGGTCCCATGCGTTATGTACTTGGGGCGCTGGCAGGAGCCACAGCAAAGGCAACTCGTCAGCCGAAGCCAGGGGCGATCGATCTTCCTTCATCTTCTGACTCATCAAGCCCATCTTGGCCCTGATCATCTTAAGCTCAAGAATTAGCCTGGCGAAGGACCCAGCCACATGCAGTTGTGAATGCTGCAAACGTGAATATCGTTTTCGGTGGCGCTACCTCTGGGTAGGGGAGACGCATGCGAACGCCCCCACTGGGGCCTTTCGGTGGAGCTCCCAATGGGGCTACGAAGCGCTGCCCTGGGTGGGGGAACCGCATGCGGG